TCTTGTCAGGCCTGAGGTGTGTGCAGTCTTCTATGTATGTTTTTTTCTTTCAAAATAGTCCCTGCCTTTTTCCAGTCTGCAAAGACAATACAGAGATTAGGTTTCCATCTCATAAATCATCCAGTAGCACCATGAAAATCAGTTGCATGATTGGTACTAGTGGATGTGGACAGACAGATATTCCCATTGTCAGTCTCCTGTTTTGAAGAGACCACAACTACAAAAAAATAAAAAACAAACTAACTACAAACCAGCAATTTTGTAGAACATTTTGATGATTACAGAGAAACATTTTGTAATCATCCCAAAGCACTACTAGCTGTCCCTCAAGGAGATCAGTAATTCAAAGTACTAGTAAGTTTTTCCTGTGCATAAATAAGCCATAATAAAGTCGACATATGGCAATTCACATTTATCATTGATGAGAATGGCATTGACAGTTAGTTATAAATGTTGCTTTGAAGCTGTCCAAGCATAATAGATTTGTGAAAACAAATATGAAAAAACAGTGGCAGAACATGTGATAAATAAATCCCATTAGGTCCAGTAACACGACACAGGCAGGGAGCAAACCCACTGGGAGATTTACAAGTCAGTAAAGAAAAATACACATTCACGATATTAATTACAACAGTGAATACTGTATAGGTTCTAAAATAACTTCCCACTTGCTGCAAGCAGAAAAATAGATAAGAATTACTAGTGAGGGAAAGAATTAGAATCTAATTAAAACTGACAACTGAGCTGTATGAAAATAGATGGGCACGTGTAAACATTTTTTTCTAGTAATTGATGAGGTGAGAAACAGTGGCTTTTCTGCTGAATAAATAATCTGTCACACTGTAGGACAGACACTCATGGTAGATATCTTGCTAGTGAGGTAAAATTCATTAATACTATGTGGTGCAGTTGACAAGCTGGAGGGAAGGAATGCCATCCGGAGCGTGTTGACACACTTGAGAGGTGAACTGATGTGAACCTCAGGGAGTTCAACAAAGCAAAGTGCAAAGTCTACACCTGGGTCACAGCAATCCCACGCACAGGTTGGGAGGAGAACTGATTTAGAACACCCCTGCAGAGAAGGACTTGGGGATGATGGTTGGTAAAAACTCAAGATGAGCCGGCAGTGTGCACTCACAGCCCAGAAAGCCAAGAGAATTCTGGGCTGCAGCAAAAGGAGAGTGGCCAGCAGGTCGAAGGAGGTGATTCTCCTCCACTACTCTGCTCTTGTGAGACCCCATCTGGTGTCCCCAGCATAAGGACATGGAACTATTGGAGCAAGTCCAGATAAGGCCACAAAGTTGATTAGGGAACTGGAGCAGGGTATGCTTTCAGCATGGTCACTGGGAGCAGACCAGCGTCCTTACTGCATGCAAAGAACATGGTCTGTCTTCTCATTTGCTCAAAAGAGAAGCAGACTGTGTGCCATTAGTTTCTTGTTTAGTTTAAATTCCCATAGCAGGATATTACTAAGGGTTTAATGGCAGAATACAGTGACATGGCATGGCCTTGATGTCATAATTATCCATAAAGAACCAGAAGAGATCTTTTAATGTCTCCAAAGAAGTCAAGAGACAAGTAATTTGTTAAGTTCTGCTGAATAAGTAAAATGAGCTTTAAAATTAACTTACTTAATAAGACCAGTAGTATTTCTGCTAAGCTTTCTTGTAATAAAACTTAGCGGTAGCAAAGGTTTATCCTTGACTCTAACTAGGTGTATAGTTTGTCCAAATTGTGAAAAGAGGCAGAAGTTTCGTACTTTCATGTCACGAGGAAGAGGGAAGGATGCTGTGTTCACAGCAAGGCCCAAAGCCTATAGCAATACATTGTTTGATCAAAGGTCCAGGTCCCCTGTGGCAAATTAAATGGGATCCCATATGAAGAAGCTGCTGTTGAAGTCAGCAAGGCAAATGCCCTCACTGGAACCCTTGCCAATAGCAATCCTCTGGGAATGTAGAAATCCTAGGCAAGTAAGAATGAAGAAGGCTGGAACAAGTGGTGCCTCCCATTACATATCTGATTAAAGGAGAAGAGTGTTTATTGCTCCTGAAGGTGAAGGTTTAGCAGAAGCCTCTTGCTCTGAGCATAAGGCAAATGTTCTTTGTGGCCTCCTACAACTAGAAAGAGAAAACATTAGAGAAAGATAAGAATACTTTTTACATACAATTTTTCAACTGGTCTTTCGAGGGTAATATTTTTCTGGGATAATTATTTCCTTGCAAGTGACCTCCTGTCCTGTCAAAGCTACGTTTAGGTCATCTACAGCTGTTGTTTCTATGAATATGTGATTACTACGTTTATCATGTAACTGACTTCCTCTGCATGCTGCATGCCTGTCTCTCTTGGCTGAGCCTACTTTTAGCATTTCAAAGAGTTGAGCAGCTTCCAGCAGCCACCGTCTGTGAGTATTGTGGTCATCTCAAACTCATGCCAATACACTTTCAGACAGCATTTCACAGTCCCGTACTTTATGAATTTTTCTCATGTTAGTATGAAATACACAAACCTTCTTAATCTTGGAAACATCTTTTTTCCAGTTTATTCAGATAAATCTCTTTGGTTCAGCAGCAAGCCCATTTGCTTGCAAGGTTGTAGCCCTTTCACTACTTAATCTTGTCCATGTCGGCTGGCTGGAAGTTTTGTCAATGATATGCAGCATTTAAGTGTGTTTGTTTAGTAAAGCTCAGGCCTGCTGTGTCAAACTAGTCAAATGTCAGTTCCAAATTTGAGGGCAAAATGGTCCCACACAATATTCAAACAATGTGTGATGTACATTACAAAAAATGTTGGAGGGCACTACTCCATAGAGGAAATGCTGGTGATATATAAGGCCTCCAGAAAGTAGGACTTGCTATACACAATAGTTTTTGCTGTAGACCAAAAAAAAAAAAAAACACAAACTAGTTTTCTTGCTGGATTTGAAGGCATCTGTCACTGCTGTATGTGGAGTGTTTATATCCCTGGTAGAAATGAGAATGCATAGCTCAAGTCCTCTCTAGATAAGGGGTAAGCTCCAGCTGAGGGTTGTATCTGGGATCACAATAGGTGGAAACTATCAGCCAACTGAAAGTAGATGTTGGAGATATTTACTAGGTAATTAATGGAAATAACTGCTTTCACAGAGACAGCTCTTCAGCTATGAAAGTTAAGGCACCAATGCAGTCACTCCTGGAGTGGATCTTAAATGGTTTCTGCCCTTTGGGGGGAATGCCTAAATTTAAGGCCTGCTCCAAACCCTCGTGAAGCTGTTGGAAGGCTTCCCACTGACTTCAATCTGTCAGCAATGAGTATGAGACCATTTCAGCTTTTAATAATAATTCCTTCACTCAAGGAAAACCAGAATCTCATTCCAAATATATAGATTGCTAAAGAAGGGCATGTAGTACTATTTTCCACAATATTTTATATGGACACAGGTTCCGCTTAGAGGTAAATTTTCATGCCTGTTCTCCCATTGGATGTTGGAAGAAATCCTGTCAAATGATTCTTTTCCATGAGATAGAAAGAGGCAGTGTTTACATGGACTAATGATTAAGAAACCTTTTCAGGAGAAAAGGGGGATATAAAAAAGATCTTCAAGAATTCCTTGAGCGAGGGAGTATCAATAGTCCAAAGCAGACATTTCACTTCTGTTGTTTGAGGACTGGGACCATGTCAATGAAGTTGACTGTATGACTGAAGGTCTGCTTGCAAGGATTTCTTGGACTGGGCCCAGAGGCTCCTGTTACTCAACAGCTGCGCTGCTGGTTCACAGCAATGGGGAGCAATGAGCTACAGCTCACACTGAAATAGCAGAGGCAGCTTCCTGCCCTGTGCAGCATCTTGTGGAGACGTGTGGACACACTGGGGTAGATTGGTGTGATTGATGTTGCTGAAAGTGGAGTCCTAAGGAACTCAGTATTACACTCATTTGTATTATGTCACACTGATATGGAGAAGCGTTAAAATAAGTGACTTCTAAAGTGTTTGCTGATGGTGCTGCTGATTTAAGCAGGATTATAGCCCATTAAACACCCGATGTATGACTGTCTTTGGCCATTTTACAGATACAGCCTCTGGCTTTAAATGCTTGTGACTTATACCCATTTGTTATGGTGAGTAATTTTTTTAAGTGGTTGCAGAGACTTTTAAAAGAATGGTTGTGGGAGCAGTTCTTGGTTTCTCTTGGTAAATCATCTTCTGTCTTTTAGGCAAGTCTTGATGTTCAGCACCCCCATGTGAACAACTGACCCATGGATAGTGTCACTGGTGATAGATGACTGGGAAAGAGGGGAGTTAGCCAGCTGCCAAGATAGCAAGAATAATTTCAGGCTTTTTAGTGGTAGAAACCACAGTTGAAGCAGCATTTCTGATGTATCTATCAAGACTGAAATGGAAGAAGGCGGTGCGCAGGCGGTGCGTGCGATAGGAGAGCAGCTACTATCCCTGACTCCTAGATCCCACCTAGTTAACTCCTTGCAGCAACACGCCAGGCTGCCAAGGACCGGGTTAAAATCAGGCCGAGCCGCGAAGGACGGAGCCGCCTGGCCCCTCAGCTCCGCACCGCTCTCCGGCGAGAGCCGAGGTCTCCCCGCTCTTCCCCCCGCTCCTACTAATGCGGTGACATTTCGGACAGTTCAAAAGTTCACGGGGAGGCTCTGGCGAGGCAGCGGGATGTGAGGCTGGAGCGGGGACCGCCGGCAGGTCCTGCCTCGCAAGCGGGGGTGGCCGGTGCCTTCTCCTCCTCCTCTCCTCCCTCCTTCCCTCCTCTCTCCTCGCTCGTTTCCAGGCGAGACCTGGGTCTCCGCAGGTACCGCTCTGTCTCCCCCGCCGCCTCCCCGCTCCATCTTTTCCCCGCGTCCCTGCAGCATCTGTCCGCCGCCCAGCCGGCTGCCAGCGCGGAGGGGCGCGCACCCCCGGCGGGCCGAGAGCGGCGAGGGGCTGCCCCCCCCCCGCCAGCGGGGGGCGCGGAAGGGGGCGCGGAGGGGCGGGGGGGACACGCACAGCCAGCGGTGCGGCTGCCCCGCCGCCCCACAAAAGGCACCGCCGGGCTCGGGCTGCTCCGCACGCCCCGCGCAGCGGAGCACGCACGGACACACACACATACACGCACACGGGCTGGCACGGACACACTCGCACACACTCGCACACTCTCGCACACACGGGCGCGCCGCGATGTGCGATGCGCGATGCGCGACGTAAGGCACCTCGCACGCCCCGGGGCCGGGGGGAGCCGGCGGGATCCGCGTTGCCAGCCCGCCCGCCCCTGCCGCTCCCTCTCCTACAGACCCATCCATCAGCCTCTTCCTCTCCGTCTGCTCCAGCCTTTCTTTTATTTTCCTTTTTCTTTCCTTTTTTTTTTTTTTTTTAATTTTTAATTTTTGTTATTTGCTCTAACTGTATCTACCCAAGCCCTGAAAAAATGCCTGCCCGTGGAGCGAGGAGAGGGCACCGGGTCGGTAAATAAGAAGTGAGTACGAGCACAATGGCGTGCCTCCCCGCTACCAGCCCTGCGGATGCTGCATGCGCCCCTGCTTCCCCCTCGCCGGACACCGGGATGCTCCCCACGCCGCGGAGGCGGACCGGGCCCCCTTTGTACCTTGCCTGGCTCCTTCCCTTTCCCTTCCCAGTCTCGCTCGCGCCGCGCCCCGGCCCCGCCGCCGGCCGCCTCACCCCGCGCCGCTCCCCGCAGCGGAGCATCCCAGCCCGCGGCAGCTGCCCGGGGGCTACCGGGGCTGCGCCCCTCGGGGGCGGCGGGCGAACCCCAGCGCATTGCACCGGCCGCGGGGAGGGGGCGGCGGTGCCGGCGGTGGAGCGGCGGTGCCCGGTGCCCGCTCCTTTGTTCGCCGCCGGCGGCCGCGCCGGGTCGGCGCTGCTCTGGGCGGGCGGGGAGCGGTCCGTGGCACCGTCCCTGGGGGCTCGAAGGGTCTCGAGGGTTGCGACGGGAGAGAAGGCGGCTGCGGGGAAGGGGCTTCCCCCTCCAAGGTGTGGAGCAGGGGGCAGGAGGGCTGTGCCCGACCACCGGGTGCCTATGGGGCGGGGGCCGGGGCGGTGGGAGGCGGGACCGCGTGGAGTGCCCGGCGCCCAGCCTGAGGGCTGTGAGGGGTGGCCCTGGTCCCCGCCCGGTCCCGGCTCGGGGCTACCAACCTCCCTCTAGATCCCTTCTCCCGGCGCCGAGGTGTGTGTCAGAGCCCGGCGGGTGCTCACTCTGTGACTCTACCAAGGGCCACCGCCTCCCCTTGCAGGGACGTGTCCCATCTCCACTGTCCTGAGGGAGACTTTCCTCTAGATTTAGATCTGGGCTTTTCCCAAAGGCAGCTGGAAGCGGTGTCTTGGACATTCAAAACATACTTGTAATTCAAAACAATTTAAATATAGCTTGTGTGGTCACTGTTGTGGCCATCTTCCCGCAGGAGACCTTTACCTGCAGTTGATGTGGAGGATTTTTTTTTGGTTCCCATGTAATTGCTGGTAGTCACATGAGTTATCCAGATACTTGATAACACACTCAGCTGCTCTTTTCCCAACCCGGTGGGTTTTTGTTGCTGTAAATAAAAATACCCACTCTAACAAATGTATGACTCTTCCAGTAAGTACACATGTGTTTTACTCGTGTTTTCTGAGAGGTGTAATCGATATGCAATTAGCACTTTAGGACCAGTAGGTTGAGCAATGTCTTGTTTTTACGGTTTTGTCTGGGGAGTTTGGAAGTGATCTCGCAACTGTTCTCAGAGAGCATTTGTCGGAGTGCAGTACAAAATAGGTGAAGGAAAGAAGGTTTTGTATTTTCCTGCTACTTCTGTAATGCTGAGTTAAAACACAGCTGGAAAGCTGCTTAGCAGTGCTTGAGAGCAGCGAACTAAAAGAATCTCTGCAGCAAAATACTACCTTGTAGTAATTTAATGAAATGCAAGAGTGTAGCTGAAGTCTGCTTTTGGAAATGGTTGAATATCACAAAGGGACACACATAGAAAATGTTGCAAATGTGTGTATGCCTGTGAAATGGATACTACTACCCAGAGCAGTATGTTGATTTGCTGTAAGGTGTCATGGGGGTAAGAGAGAGATTCAACAGTTAAGAATTCCAGTTAGAAGCAACAGAATTTATGCAATCGTTTGGCAAGAAGTTCAATTAACAAAATCTGAGTGGCACTGTAAACATTAACTTTTTTTTTTCTGTTTTTGCCAGTGGCGGCACCTGACTTGCTGGATCCCAAATCGGCTACTCAAAACTCCAAACCAAGATTATCATTTTCCACCAAGCCTACCGTGCTCGCTTCACGGGAGGAAAACGATTCAGCCATTAATGTTATGAAATGGAAGACAGTCTCAACAATTTTTCTGGTGGTAGTCGTGTATTTAATAATTGGAGCAACAGTATTTAAAGCCCTGGAGCAGCCTCATGAGACCTCCCAGAGAACCACCATTGTGATTCAGAAGCAGACGTTTGTATCTCAGCATTCCTGTGTGAATGCAACAGAGCTTGATGAACTGATTCAGGTAATCCATACCAAACCCTTGTCACCATGCCTTAGAGGAACAAATTATACATGGCAGTACTACAGTGATAAAGGGCAAAACCTTTGTAAGCAAAACTCTGTATTGGCCAAGTGATGTAACAAGTGTTAAGACCAGAATTTGAGCAATGGCATTTTCATGCAAAGCCTCATGGTTGAGAAGCTATTGCTATTTTTAGGTCCAATATGCTTTGTAGACAGCCTTTTTACTGAAGCCTCCCATTATGCTAATTAAATGATTATTCATCAGCAATATATATAATTAATAGTTCACAAAGGAATTGGTGTATTGATTGTGCCTTACTAATTCTGTCAATATTTGAAGTGCCTAATTCTGAGGAAAAAACAACACTATCCATTACCTTGAAGGACTTCTAATTTACTGTGATGTCATCAGGCTAGCTTTCCTTCCAGCTGTATGTTTCTTTTTATTAATTTTGTTTTAAGTACAGGAAAGTACCATGGACTTCCTATTTTGATCTTAAATCTCAAACTTCTCCACTTCTTAAAGGCATATCCACAAATGATGTGCATTGGTGTGTTCCTACTAACATGACTTTACCCTTGCAGGTCACTTGCCTCAGAACCATAGGAAACATTTATTTGCAGTAGCACAGAAGCAGATCTGGAGCCTTATGAGTCCCATTCTAACTTAAATCTTATGTTCTTAGGAATATCCAATGGCACTGGAGGGAATAGCAGGGGACTGCTAAATAACATTGGTTTTGGGGATAAGACAATGAAGTATGAGGCTGGAGTTACCAAGAGATAGCAAGGATTTACTCTTTCCTTAACAGTAGCCATGGGGCTATCTGGGTCTACAGAGCCTGAGATGAGACAGGGGAGAGCAGGAGAGGGTGGCCGGCATCCAGACCCTGGTGAGCAGGAGCTCTGGAGCATGCCAGTTGCATGGGCAGCAAAGCTTTCTGGAGGTGTTTTTTGACAGAAGAAATAGCTGGGAAATTAGAAGGTGATTTTACCTCTCTAGACTGATCTGCCTTGAGCATCAGCATGGATGTGGGGTTTTTCAGTTTTAAATGCAGAGTTCTGATGTACTGAATTATTTTTATGGCACACTACTTCTGAATTTTAAAGGTAAGCTGGGAAAAAGTCTTGTTTATGATTTCTCACCTGTCCTGTTGCTAAAATGTGTTCCAAAATTGCTACCCTTTAAATGGCTGTCAGACAGTTCCTGTCTCCATGAATCTTGACTAGGCATGCCTGAGGAGATGCTGCAAATAGTAATTTTGATGCTGTGTAGTAACTATGTTTCAGTGGTTTTACCAGAAGAATGTGAGATAATCTTTCAGAGAAATATACAAACACATTCTGATGAAAAATATCTCTTGTAGCTACTATAAATAGCCTCATATGAAATTTTTAGGTCAGATCCTGTGCTTGTGAAGATAAAAAAAGAAATTTTGAAGCAATATTATCTTACATCATCTATGAGATGGACCTTAAGGCAAAAACTCTTGAAGTTCGCTCTGGAGTACTTAGATATTTTAGCATTTATGATTCTTTACCCAGAAGCACAGATTGATAATAAAAAACCACTTCATCAGCATTCAATGCCCATTTGATGTTCCGTGTAAAATAATGAGTTTCAGTACAATCATCAGAACTCAGATAACCATATCAGTATTAGCTCCCATCTTCGCTAGTGATCTTGGCATGACCAGAAAAACACAGATGTGTGAAGCATGAGGAGGTGACACAATCTTCCTCAGCACTTGGATGACAGATAGTTGTGGGAAGAGTTTGCTCTGCTTGTTGTAAGGCTAAATGAAAAACTTCATTTCTCCTTGTTCCCTCCTGCTCCTCTAGAAAGAAGAACACCATGATGGGGAGGGAGGAATGTGCTGTAACACTCCTTTATAGCCGAAGAGTTGAGGCATAGAGTGCCCCTTTGGGTGCCTTTCTTTAAGCAGAGTAACTGCTAATGAATGACATCAAGTTGTTTAAGGGCTGGGAAATTCTGCTTGTTCAAAGTAAAATGGGAAAGCAATCGTAAAAGAGAACCTCAAATTAATATTTCCAAGTCTATCCTAAACATGGGTTCCTATTTCTTCCCTAGTTACCACTTTGTCAAAGAAGCTAAATTACTGGAATACATTTTGTCACTCTGGGATTACCTCTGACTGCTATTACAATGCAATGCAGTGTTTCTTCAGTTTTTGTTGGGTGTCTATATGAATAAAAATAAATAGTGCGTGCAAGGAAAAAGTAAATGATATTTAAGAATTCACTAAAACTATAAAACTGAAAATTATTATGTGCTAGAGTAGAAGGAAGCTGAAATGATTAGTGTGTGTGAAGAAAATTACAGAGCTTACAGTATGTAATGTCTTCTTTAATCAGGTATTTACCTTGAGTCAAACTATAATGAAAGTCATTATAAACTATTCCTTTTGAACTTAGTGTTCTGGGAATCCAGGAGCTGGTTTGGCCCTATTTCATGACAGCCATTGCTCAAGGTGCTTTTCATGTCAGGCTTTTTCAATCTTCACAACTTCTGCTCTGCCATTTAATCCTTGCTCAGAAGCAGGCTTGACTATTCCAAGACTGTCCACTGGCAGTATGATATGTGGTAACTTAGTCAGGTGAGCACATTTGGAGAGATTAGTTGGAAAGCACAAATTCCAGCAAAAATAAATGTACAAGTGGAATGACGATCCAGTTTCTCTAGCACCCAGGAGCCAAAATCTTCCTTTTTTTGCAAACCTGTTCAAAAAAGAGTTGTGTGTTTCTATAAATACACACAGGATAGTGAATTTCCCCCTCTTGTCTTCTCCATCCTTATTTTATCTCACCAATCACCAACCCCCCTTCTAGTACAATAATATTGGGAACTTTTCAGCACACACAGTTTTATTCCCTGGGTTTAGAATTCCTGAAACTTTGTGTTGTCACATTGATCCTATGGCTCCTCTAGGTGTAGTAGGAGAGAATTATACTTTTATAGATTTCATATATTTTATATAGATGTAAAATATGGGGCATTGGAGAGCTGCTATGCAGCATAGAAAATGTGCAAAGTTAACGAAATAGAGTGCTGTGATGATGGCAGCCAAATAGCTTCAGCTGCCTCAGGAAAATTACCCAGGTGTTCCTCACAACCTTTCAGCCCAGTCAAGCAGCATTATTCCTGTGTGGACAAAGAAGTGGTCTTCATGACCTTATCTGTCTGTGACTTCCATGGTCCAGTGTTGCAAATCTCTCTTGATCTAAACCACTTCAGTTACTTGTTGCCTCACTGTAACAAAATATATGTGCAAGGAACAACAGCAATAAATGGCCCTGAGAGATACATCTGGGTACATAATTATTTTGATATTTTGTGAGCACTTCTATTTAGTACCATATTGAAAATGTGCAAAAATCATGCAGAGCATATCTGTACACCCAAGAGGCCATTTTTTTCCAGGCACTTTCAACTCCTTTTACTGTAGCCAGAAGCCAGTATTAACAACCGTAATAAATGGATCAGTGCATGCTGTACCAAATGGTGCTGAGGTGGGCAGTGCACGGCACTCACTGCTGGTATATCTAAATCTACAACTAGAGAAACATCCCAGGAGGGAAGCCTGTGGAAGTACCAACATTGCCTTGGTGAGTCTAATCAGAATACAACAGAGCAACAAGCTGTGCATGGTTTGGTGTTAAACTTCGGGGTTTTTTAAGTTTCAGTTGGAAGGTCTTGAAAGGATCTCAGTTGTTAACAGATGAGAAAACACTGGTTTGGTGAAGGTTATGTATGATATAGAATACAACTATAAAACTGTAGAAAGGGATGTGATCAGATACTCTGCCACTACTTCTTCTTTTGGAAGAAGAACACTGTACAGTTCATCCACTCTAAAATTCCTCAAGAATGGTGTTTTGGTTTCTCTGTCTATACCTCAACTTGGCCCTGCCATGCAATGCGAAGTAACTGTCAGGAGACAGAATAAAAGAGTAATGCAGTTCAGACTGTGTGGATTTAATGTATATACGACTAAATATATGAACCTGATCTTCATATACACTAGGCTTTTTTTTACATCTTGTGTCTAAGTTTTTCCCTCCTCCACTGAGCTTTTTGTTGGCAGAAGCTGATAGAAACCTGGGATCAATCCAGCTGCACACACGCAAGTAACCATAAGCATTAAAGAGTGAAATAATTCTCTAAATGGAGCACTTGTATGTAATTATTTCAATCTAATTCTAAGTTTCTTTTCATTTGTTGACTGTTCCCTATAGCAAGCTTGCCACTAAGCATTTAAAATGATAGAGACAGTTTCTAAACTCAGATGCACAAAGTGTATTACCAAGTACCTAGCAAAATTTCTTGCTGCGTTTATGCACCTGTCCATGGTAGCACATGTGAAGAGACCTTAGGTTACATTGCTGATGTTCAAGTTGCAGTCATGTACTCCTGCAAAGCCACAAAGTACTTGTGTCTACTTCATGTCACCTCCTGGGGTTGTCTCTGGGAACAGGTGAGCCTGCTGAATATGATATCCAGTGACTTCGTAAAGTGGTTGTTATTTTTTCATACACCTCATGCCCTCTATAAGTTCCCTAAGATCCTATAGAGGAAATGAGGTGCATAAATAACAATGAATGTTCTTTCCCTTCACCCAGAATTCCTGTTGTTCCTAGGACATAAGGATGTGACCAGTATTTTACACTGTGGGATGTTTTGGCAATGACAGACAACTCTTTGTCCTCCTGCCAAAGAAAAAGCTGATTAAAAAAAAAGAGAAGAGCTTTTAATGTAAATATCACCTAATTATGTGATATTACTCAGCAGATATTTGTTTATGTTGAACTTTTCAAACTAAAATGGAAAAAAAATTCCTTTTTAATATCCAATCATCAAGTTGTTTAGTGTATTATTTTCTCATACAAAAATAGGAAATAAGAAAAATTTCACTTATTTTAAATACATAGAATGTCCTAATAAGCTAGTGTGAATTATTATTGTTATCTTAGGGAGTA